CTTAAAGGGCATTATGCAGTTTTTTTTTTTCAAATCTGCTTCTATCAATGGCTAAGATAGAAAGGGGTTTTTTACAAGCTTTACATAGTCAAATTATAGATCATTGTCTGCCCTTGAATATTTTGTTTTATATTATATTTATATACAGTATCAGCATGTCAGTGATTGAATATTTTTTTAGGTGGTGCGACTTTTGAAGACGTCTCCAGAAAAGCCAATCACCTTGGCTGTTGGGGATGGAGCAAATGATGTCAGTATGATACAAGAAGCTCATGTGGGCATAGGTAAAGCTATACCTTAACTATACTTAACGTTTTACTGTTTGTGTGAAGAGTCATCGCCACTACGCTTGTGTATATATTCAATCATCTCCAGGTATCATGGGGAAGGAGGGTCGTCAGGCCGTGAGAAACAGCGACTATGCAATTGCTAGGTTTAAGTTCCTGGCTAAACTTCTGCTGGTCCACGGTCACTTCTACTACATTCGAATAGCTACGCTTGTACAGTACTTTTTCTACAAGGTAAATCCTCGTTCAAGGTACAGTGAATTGATTGCCCCTTGACTACACTTTCTTTCAACAGGAAAGGTAATTATGGTGATTGTAAATAAAAGAAATATGCTGTTAACATGGGTGTATGCAGTCATCTCCATTGTTTTTAATGCGTCATTTTCTTCACTTTGTCTTTTCTAGAATGTGTGTTTTATCACGCCACAGTTTTTATACCAGTTCTTCTGTTTGTTTTCACAACAAGTAAGTCTGTTTCAAACACCATTTTTCTTGCTTTTCTCTGTCATTGTTTTCTGCCAGCTTTTGATGTTTTTTTTTTTCAGGCCATTTTTTTTTCTAAATAGTCAAAAGATAATTTCCTAAGCTGAGATCAAACACGACTGTCATGTTTTTGTATGTTTGAGTGTGTTTGTTGGATGAGTCAGTTAATAAGTTGCTGTTGAAATGCCGTCTCTGTCCGATCCAGACTCTGTATGACAGTGTTTACCTGACACTGTACAACATCTGCTTCACCTCGCTGCCCATCCTGGTGTACAGTCTGTTTGAGCAGCTGGTCCACCCCCATGTCCTGCAGAGTAAACCTGCTCTGTACAGGTACGACCACGTGTAATATCCAGGTGCACTGTTGATCATCATTCCCTGTTAACAGAAGGCAGCTGTTCTGATGTATAGTGAACCTCTGCTTTTCGCAGGGTTTACCTTCTTGGAGGACCCACAAATTGAGAAAAAATGCGAATAATAGACGCGGTTAAAAAAAGGTCTATAAACAGTCATTTTAAGAGCTTAAACCCCATATTTGCTCCCAGTACATAACATACACAGCATACATTAAAGTTAATTCAATAAAAACACTGGGAAATGTATGGTTACTCACCCAAATTACATTTATTTCTCCAGCAGAAAAATAAAAATAAAAATTACTGGTCCTCGTGGGGTGCTTCTGCTTCAGCGGTTGTATTTTCTGTCTGTTGTCTTGCTGGTGAGGTTTCATGCTGGCTGTTCCTGACAGTTTGGAGGAACATTGGGCCTCATGCAAGAACATGTTCGTATTTTTATCCTAAATTTCTCTTACTTTTGTTCATACAAAGGGTTCGTACGAACATGCCACGTCAGATTCAACAAACACTTCTATCTTCAGGAAAAGTGTGTAAATGAGCTGCATAAATTTCCACCTGTTCTATCCAGCTGCTCGTGCACGCGAGAGGAGATTAGCATAATTACCACCCCAAATACACCATATAAGGCTATGTTTCCTGCCTCAGATATCAGGAAGTGTCCATTCATTCATGAAAAATGACAGCGAAAACTTAAAAGAAAAACTTTACGAGTTCAGAGATTGAAGTCCGTCTGTCAGAGATCCAGACAAGAAAATCTGTCATTTTTAGCAGCTCAGCTGTGGGATAAAAAGAGCTGCTAAAAGTATAAACAACTGTGTTAAATCATTTTCATTTATTCAGAAGCCGCAACCCCCGTAAACCCCACCCCCAGCGCGCTGCGCAGCGCAGGTGGTCTCAGATGCGGGTCTGAAATAAGCATTTTAAAATGTTTTTAAAATAAGTCTGGCACTTTGGAGAAAATCCTGGACTTGATCATGTATCCCCTCTGGTCTGGGAACATCTTGAGTCCCCCAGGACAAGCTGGAAGGTGTAGCAGGGGAGAGGGGGGTCTCTCTGCTGCTGCCCCCGCACCCGATCCCGGATAGGCGGCGGAAAACGGACGAACGGACAATTTAGTCTAAATTATTACATTTAAAATTATAACTCTAATTCAAGCAGAATAGCCTATTGTCAACATAATTATGGAGTGTAATTTATTTTCAACTTAAAATATCTTCAAACTAACGAAATATAAAGTTATTAGTGAAGAAACCCCGTCTGGATAACAGCAGACTGGCTGTACGTAAAATATACGACAGGTCTGGACCACTCGTAAATTTTGTTCGTATCTGAAAAAAATCTTAGAATACGAAAACATTGGTGAATGCCACAAATTCTCCTAAATCACTCGTACACACAACTTAAGAACAAATCTGTGCGTACGAACGGTTCTTGCATGAGGCCCATTGTGATGAGAAGTTATCTTTGTTTCTTCACTGGAAGAGTCTTTCTTTTTCTCGAAGCCATACCCCTCAGACATTAAAACTCTACCCTAATGAAGATTTAAAAGTTCAGTTATGTGTTGAATTTGTTTTCAGGCATGTAGCTATTTATTATAAAAATCATTAAGTTAAGCAAAACCGTCACATTTAACAATCATTACAGATCTATCTTAAACTTTACCACGTGTATGTAATTTAAATCAGTTATGTGAACCTAAACCCCAATAATTTCTTCATAACACTAAGATGACGAGAGCTAAGCAGTTAACAGCTAACACTTTACCGGTACGTAGTGTAAACAGCGGAAATGCTGCGCTCTGGGTGGAGCGTGAGCACAGGACGCACATCACGTAGGCCTACTGTACTGTTCCGTACAGTACATACTGTAACTGAATTTACGTCCATTTTTATGTTACAAAATCATATTTTTGTTAATAATTCAACTTGAATACTCACAGAAAAGCACAAGAAAAAAGTTTCATATTGTACAGTGTGTTTAATGTATTTCTGGTTTCCGCAAAAAATGCGGGATTTTCCACGATTAACTAGGTAGTAGGTTCCATTGATTAATCCGCGAAAGACTGAGTCCGCAAATGGTGAACCGCGGTTTTGCGGGGGTTCACTACTTGAAAAGGAGAATTATTCTAGGTACTGTTTGCTGCTTTCTTGCAAAAAATATGGTTAATCTGATTTTATGTAGCACTTTTAAGGAAGTTGATTTTTTTAAACATGAAAGTGTTCTTGCATACATTAAAAAAATAAACCTGTGTGTCATCAACAGAGATATTAGCAAGAACTCGCTGCTGTCTTTTGGGACATTCTTGTACTGGACTCTGTTGGGCTTTTGTCATGCATTCGTCTTCTTCTTTGGGTCCTATATACTGATGGGAGAAGACACAACACTCATGGGCAATGGACAGGTGTGTGTTTCATTTTTTGTGTATGTGTAAAGTGAATTCTTTTAAAACGATATAGATGAGATTTTTGTTTAGAGCATGCCAGGATATGAAGGTAATTTTGTTATTTTATTATTCAATCAAAGTAGTTTCAATCAAAACAAAATTTCAACCAAAACAAAAAAGCACTTTCAATCAAAAAAGATTCAATCAAAATGTTTTTTGCAAAAACAAATTTTTTTGCATGTCAGAAATCTTTGGTTGAATCTCAAACTAATGTTGATGCACTAAGTTTTCCTATCCTAGTAGGTTGGAAGGCACTTATCAATCATTTGTATGCCTGATGATATGCATTAAATGCAGTGAGTTTGGCTCCTCCTCCTGGACACGGAGTTCAAGGAGAGGGGAATATATTTAATCTTAGAAAACCAAAATCCAAGTAACCAGCTGTGCGATCAGGCTCAAATTTCTGTCAGCTTTAGCTCTAAACCAATAGGGACACGTCTTACATAGTTCCTCCTTAAGCTCTGCCCTGTTCATGTTCTCTGAGTTCTTATAGCAACTTATAGCATAAACCAAAAGTTTGAGATTCAACCAAGGATTTCTGACATGCGAAAAAAAAAGTTTGTTTTGCAAAAAACTTTTTTGATAGAATTGTTTTTCTATTGAAACTGGTTTTTTGTTTAAACAAAAAAAATAATAACCTCCATACCGAGAAATATTCAGTTTTTAATGGGAGGTAATGAATATAGAATACTTGTATTTAACATCAATGTTGATAATATCTGACTGGTTCTCTTGATGTTGCTGTGTGGGATCTGTCGTTCTCRTTCTTTTTATTTGACAGTTCCTGTTCCTTTTTTATTCCTGCTACATATCTTGCCACCTTTCTTTCTGCTTGTAGTTCGCCACTTCTGAATGCACTCACTTTTATAACTCTCTCTTGGTTGTCTTTTTACCTTCCATCTTTTCTTGATCACGCCTTTTTTCTTCTGCCTTCACGCTGTGCATGTCTTCAGATCTTGCGAGCTAACAGGCAGCTGGTAAGAGTCTGCTCTACAGTTGAATGCATGTCTCCATGGGAGGTTAATGTGAGGACTCGGGGAGATTCACCAACATGGTTTTTTKGTGTCTAAAATGTTCATACTGCAGTAGAATCAAATGGTTTAGTTTGTTCATCTATTTTTTGTGACCTACAGTACAAAACTTTAAAAATGTAGGTGTAAAAATGCATTTAAAAACGGTTTTAATTTAATATTTATATATTTATGTATCTATTTTTAGACTTGTATGCTTTATGGGTTAAAAGGCTTGCTTTAGTCATCTGTATGGATTAAGCTTTAGCATTAGGTTTGGAAGCAAACGTTTTAAAAAGCRTAAAGGAAGAAAAAAGTCTATAAAAGCTCCACCCCTCAACTTTTTAAACACGTCTTTCTTCACCTGCTATAAAGCTTCGATGTGAAGACTCCAGCAGAGCTTTGAAGTGGCTATCAACAAAATTGTACCACCTACAGCTCTCGAACTCTAAGCAGCAGTTGAGCTCTGCAGAAAGCCACGAAGGGCGTACTATAGAGTCATAACAGCCGACATCTTGTTAAACAAGAGCCTCTACCTTGTGGAAATGTTTTCTCTACATGAGCAAACTAAAGCACAGGGCTGCTCACATTGTCTAGACTCATTACTCCTGAGTTTTATTAAGTTATTACTTAACATTATTTGAACTTGGAGACAAATTAACTTTAGTTACATTGCAGAGGCCGACCAGTTTATCATGTTTACTACCACTAACCCTGTTTCTGCATGCAAACAAAGCCTTTGTTTCTATTTGGTACTAAAGTCTTTAAAGCTAATGGCATCATTTCCTGTTGACGGCTAATAACTGCAGCATTTCTTTACATTCACAGATGTTTGGGAACTGGACTTTTGGAACCCTTGTCTTCACTGTTATGGTCATCACTGTCACATTAAAGGTAAATTACAGTCAACATAATATTTTTTAAATAATACTATCAAACAATACTTAAAGATTTAGTGTATTTCTCAGTTATCTAGAAGATATTTAGTGAAWATAAATGGGAGGCTTGTGGCAGCACGTAGAGCTAGAAAACCAAATCTATCCTACATGTTGACCAGAAGAGTTATTTCTAATGAATATTACTAACATTTATTTTATTTAGCTTAGCTGCCACGCTGCTGTCAGCTTTAGCAAAAAGCCGAGTAACATCAGATCCACACAGACCCTGTTTCACACTCCAGTGATAATAATGACGTCAGCGGCCGTTTGCTCCAGAAAATAATTTATTACAAGTTGTAGGTCAAGGTGTTTTTTTTTTTTTTATAAAATAAAAGCTGATTGCTGTAGTTTATTGGTGTACTCTCTGTCCTTGTCTCAGTATTTTATACCAGTATATTTTCTCCACTTCATGACAGCTTGCATTAGAAACTCATTTTTGGACCTGGATGAACCATTTTGTGACGTGGGGCTCCATAGCTTTTTACTTCATATTCTCCCTCTTCTATGGAGGCATCATCTGGTAAGAATGTCTTTTCACAACGTTCTGAACTTTGATACCAAGCACAAAATCAAATCTCATTATTTATGTGACAAGTTAAAATTATATGGTGAACAATCTAAAAATTATTTTTATTGTTTGTGCTACTGCGTGGTCTTTAGAGGTATTCAATAGTAAAGAAGAGTGACATTTTAAAAATAAATTTGTGTAAAATTATTGCCATGTTTTGTGTAAACTGTGCTCTCACAGTACGTTTTTCTAGTAGTTTCCTTGTTCTTAGTGAAGCAGCCCCTTCTGTCACTGCAGCAAAATAAATTGGACTTTGTTTGAATTCACATTATCGGCTAGTATGTTGAACCAATCGAATCGATTTTCACCACTTTACTCCGCCCGGTCAGCTCACAGACGTCTGGGAGCCGCTCTGACAATATTGGGCTATTATTGATATTTTCAGTCTGACATCTGCTTTGGCCATTAAACTCTGCTGTAAAGGTAAAATAAAATTATCTATGAGCACGACCCCAGCTGTCTGAGACCTAAATTTTCTTTGAACATGAAAAAGAGAGCTTTGTGTGGCTCACTCTCTTGGATTTAAAAGCATGATGAAATGTTACATTTAATTTTTGATGAACCAAATAATAGTTTGTGTAGTATGATTTTTTTTTCTTCTTTCTTTTGCTCTACCTAATCACTGTGTTGTTTCCTCTCCATGCAGGCCCTTCCTGCACACCCAGGACATGTACTTTGTCTTTGTCCAGCTGCTGTCCAGTGGTTCTGCCTGGTTCGCCATCATTATCATCATCATCACCTGCCTCTTTCCTGATGTACTTAAGAAGGTCATGTACAGACACCTGAAGCCCACCAGCACACAGAAGAGTCAGGTAATGAGAGGAGAATCAATCAGAAAAAAAAGGTAGCTGCAAGGTTTACAGGTTTTAGTTTTGTAGAGCTGCCTACAATTTTTTACATATTCAAAAAGATACGTGTCGGGATGGATTTCATACATGTTCCTATGTGTAGGACAGAAAAGGAAAAAATGTTTTCTGTAAAATGCCCCTAGAGGTAGAAAAATAAAGCCCAATATCAAGGAAATTCAAAATTTAGACTGTGGAAGAAAATGATCTTCAGCCTCAGTGATCATGAGTAACCCAGTTCCAAACAGGAACATCATGGTGTTCATATTTTCACTGCATGACTGCCCTCTGATCACAGACAAGCACACACGGAGGAACTGTCGCCTCGTAAAGATCTGCATAGTTACTGTATTGATTTGTCCAGCTGGAAATACATTATGCTTTAGTTAATATCTTCTTCCATTAAAAGAAATATCGGCTTTGTTTATCAAAACAGAAGCAAAAGCAGGAGCTTCCCTTTTCCAGTCCTATGTGGTGTTTGTAGATTTACCCTGTGTGTCTTTGTGTGGCAGTTGTGAAAATGAACCCTTCTTCGTTTGTGTGAGGGTCTTAACTTCTAACCTCTTTGTGTGTCGATCTGTTCTTCTTACCCCCTTTTGTCTGTGCTCTCCTGGTGTAGATGTATTCCAACCGAGTGGTGATAGGTGATGACTTCATCGCTCTGCAGCCTTTGTCCAGAGCCAAGAGCCAGCTGAACAAAATTAGGTAGAAGATCTGAGATTCGTTAAGCCCTCGGATTAACGTGCCTTCGAAATAACTTTTACAGGAGTGCTTCTTTCAATTGCAATATTTCTAAACTTAAAAATTAGTTTTTAAAATGTGTTTTCACTTCGATCCTAATAGGGAAAATGTGTTTGCAAATATATCACTCCTTTTCAGGATTTAGGCATTAATAACAGCATTTAGCAAATTAATACCTGTTATTAACCTGTCAGCTTTATTTTTTTAATTATTCATTGACATAATATTAAACATTAACAAAATGTATTTTATCTTAATACCTTAAAGGGCATTATGCAGTTTTTTTTTTTCAAATTACCTATGCAAGACATTTTGTAAAATAGTCCTTTAAAAGTTTTTACATCAAGAAAATCACCAAACGTTTTTCCATTAAAAAAAGAAACATTGCTGTACGGAACAAGTGCTCCTGTTTGTGATCATTCAGAAGTCACAACTAGAAGTCCCTCAGAGTCATGTGCTGCTTCAGAGCCTTTCATGTCTGTGGCTGCATGCTTTGAACAAGCCAATCAGCATTCTCTTCACTTAAAGTTGGGGAAATATAAATACGTGCTGAAGGTGTGAAAGATCCTGCAGAAGGTTGTGAAGAATGCAGTGAGCGACTGCATGTGTATTGCACCGTTGGAAGACCACTTTCTTTCCAAAGCAATGAAATTCCACCCACTGCATGAACAAATGATGWGTGAATGAGTGAGCAACTACAGTCRCACTGAAATCCTTATTGGCCTAAATCTTTCCTCTGCACTCTTTGAAAAAGAGCCTTGCTGTGATGCAGGGACCTTATTTGGCGTCATTAACCTCAGTTGTAACTGCATCATCATACTTTTAGTTGTGGAATCGGGTGTATATCATTGTAGCTGCGTTTCCATTGACTGTAAAAATGTGCCAATTAGAATTTCGAAAATAAATTTGCTCAATGGAAACACGTCAATTTTGAAAAATGTTTTTCGACAAAATGATTTTGCGCTAGGTTGAGGTGTTTTTTCGGCCGTATCGAAATTGGTGTTTTCCGCAAAACTGCAATGGAAACACTTTTTTCGCATCACGGGAGTCACGTGATCAACAACCGGCTGTTTCTACTGGCGAAAAAGACGATGACGAAGAAGATAACAGGAAGTAGAAATAGTAATAATATAACAGAAGTAAAATAGTAAACTCACCGACTACAATTTCCCAATAACACAGCATACGTAGTCGCTCCCAAGTAGGGGCTTGTCGCTGGAAAGCCTCGAAAAAAGACGCCGATGTCTCCTAGTGTCACAGTAGCAATACGCTATGTGTTTACATCCATCGCCGCCATGTTTGTAATGACTTATTGTGAGAACAAACGTATTCACGTGTGACTTTAAAAGCATTTCTTACTTAATGGAAACGCCACAGTTGCGAAACTGTGTTTTTTCGACATTAACAGAATATTGACAAAGTTTTGCGCACATTTGCAACGGAAACGCAGCTTGCGACATGCATCTCAGTTTTTCAAATAAGACATCAATCACATACAAGACGCAGCCCATCAAACTGAAATTATCTGTGTCATGTTGCATCCACCTGACGKTTGCAAACCAATAGTTTCACCACTTCAGATGGCCTCGTCCTCTCACAGTACTCCACCTGCATGGTCTGAGCAGATCCCCACATCAAGGACTGAAAGCTAAAGCTGCATGAGTGGCTTGAAGTTGTCTGGGCTGTTTTAGCAGCATGATTATCATATGTCATTAGATTAGATTAAAATCTGGTTTGTCTTGCAGCCTGCAAGAGTAGCACTAAAAGCAGCATGTGTTTTCTTGGGAGTGATTCAAAGCAGGAAAAAAATCTAATGAAGATTTGAGTGTTTAGCATATTTATAACTGCAAAACAACACTTTTTTTAAATATACTGTGTAGGCTTAGCGTTTTTGTCTTTTGTGTTTTAAAGCATGCTGTTGCATGAATATCATTATTCTTACATCTGTGTAGCATGTAAGGTTTTGTGTTTTACAGCTTATTTAGTTGCCAGTTTATACATCACATTAAAATAATTTGTCATATCCTCAGCTTGAATCACTCATAGTGAATTTGTAGGTGGCAGTAATTTTATTTGTGTTTTAGTTTTACTGTGTTCTGTGTGTTTTAATTTAATCCTGTGATAAAAACATGGGAGAAAATGGAAATATTCTTATATAAAACATTTGTCAAAAACATATTGCATGTCATTTTTAGCAAAGTTTAGTATCTAATAATCTGAATGTATATACCTCATCATTAAGCTGAAATAATTCTACTACTTTTCACTTTTTTATTTACTTACTGGAGATAACAGAAAGGAAAACCAGRGGCCTCACTTGGATTTATTCATTGTTTGGCCACTCTGTAGCTCTGATGAATTTAGCAAAAGGTTAATTGGCTGAGATACTAATAGATTTGTTCTCAGCTTTGCTTCCCTTGAGGAATCTTTTTTATGCCTCTGAATCTTTTTTTCAGTTCCTTATTTGCCTGATTATACAACTTCTTCTAGCATACCTACATTAAGAGAGTGAGTTCTGTTGTCTTGTTTTCTGCTTTGTTTGGAAATGAAAACCCTCCTTCAGTGAATGGTTAAATATTCCGCAAGACCTCTTCTCTTCCAGTGATTCATGATTATCTTTTGGTCTCATGTAGAATGGGGAAATACAGATCCCTGTTAATGTTTTGTTACAAAAATCAGGAAGCACTTGGTCTTGTTGTCCTTATAAAACAATAAATTGCTTCCCATTTTATTGTTATGTTGATCTGGTCAGCTGTGAAGGGTTAAGTCCAGAATTACCAGGATCTCTGTATACTGTACAGTACTGTGCAAAAGTTTTATGTAGGTTTGATATAATAACGTAGTGCAAGAATGCTTTCACAAATATACAGTTTTGTTGTGTTTTCATCAATGTTCAAAATGCAAAGGAAATGAACCAAAGAAAATGATCAATAACACATATTATGTGCACATTGAAATTCAGGGATTGGGTGTCTGATTAACCAATTACACTAACAGGCAAACATTTCAAACCATATGGAGCTTTTAAGATATGCTGTTGATGCTCTTTTGAAGGACCATAGACATAATGGTCATCCAGTAAAACCGATGTGTGGTAAATGAAAGACATGATGCTTACCTCGGCTCAAAAATGAACAGCAGAGTCATCAGCTTAGAATCAACAGAAGTCTTTGAGACCCAAGTTCAACCATCTATTGCCCTTGAAGGCTGTAGGTGGTATCCTCAGTGATGAAAAATAAAATATCCATCATGTAGTACCACCAGAAAGATGTCCGATTGGCAGAACCCTGATCTCAACACTTTGGCAAGTAAATTACATGAAGAAATTACAAGACTCTATTCATTCATTTTGCATTGTTTACTGTTGAGGAAGGCAATCCAAAATATGTTTGATTTTCTCCTCTAAATCTTTCCACTTCTCATTTGGACCTTCTGGAATGCCATCCATGAGAATATTGTGTTGTTTACTGTAGTTCTCCAGACTGTCAACTTTTGAATCCAAAACCAACATTGATTTTGCTAATTTTTGAATATCCTTTGAGTTGGAGGTAAATCTGTTATTTAGCTTGCTTTGGGCATCTTTCAGTTCGTCAACCTCCTTCTGTGTAAACTGCAAGCTTGTCTTCACTTCCTGCATATCTTTCATTAGATCATCCACTAATAGGGATCCAAATAAATAAATAAAATAATAATAATAATAATAATAATAATAATAATAATAATAATAATAATAATAATAATAATAATAATAATAATAATAATAATAATAATAATAATAAGGATGAACAACAAAATTTATACTTGTGGGGAAAAAAACGTATTTTAAAAAAGCATGTTTTGCATGTGCCTAAAACTTTTACACAGTTCTATACCTGTGTATTTCTACAGGTCATAAATGTTTTTAATTAACTGGCACCCTACATTTACTGACAGATCACTTACCAATTTAATAGTTTTATTTTGCTATTTAGAGAATAAGAATCATTGGAAAAACACACTGTGCTCTCAGTTATTTAGTCTTTTATTGAATGTTGAAATTCCAAGTTTCATCAAGGTAATGCAAATATTGTCTGATGTGTGAAACAAACTAACAAAACTAACCCAAATGATGATCAGCATATTGGCAACAATTTAGCACATGGTCCAGATTTTAGAAATGCTGTAAAATAAGATAAAGCAGTTACATCATCCAATCATTCAATACAAGACTAAATAATTCAGCAATA